CAGAACATAAAATTTATAAGGAATTCAAGACCATAACTAATCTCCCCAACAAATATTACTGATAAATACCCCATAGGTCTATTTTCACTATATGGAACATTGACAATCCAAATCTACTTCCTTCATCATATTGCAATTTCAACATTTTTCTCATATTTCTCAGGAAGTGCACTTGCATGAGAGGTCTATTTTGAATATTATCAGAAGTATAATATACTGTTTGTTTAGGCTAAAAACTATAGGACCAATGGAGATTGAATAGGTTCCTCCCACATGGGTTATTATCTCTCTGTCTATCTCTGCATTGAAAGGCTATTCGAGCTATGAGTTATATGGATGATACCTAAAGACTCAAATGACACTAGCAATGAAAACTAGGACAAGATAAAAACAGAGGAAATTCATACCCTTTCAAGAAGATATTGCTCTGACAGAGGTAATCTCCTGTTTGTGTTGCATCTACCACTAACAATTTCCAATAGCAAAACACCAAAACTGTAAATATCCGCTTTCCTCGTCAACTGACCTCTAATAGCATATTCAGGCGCTAGATAACCTCTACATAAACAACATAAGGATACACAAACAAATTAACAATGCTGAATGGAAAGTTAGGTAGATCATTAATTAAATAATTAAATTAAAAGGTGAACTAGATTAAAGGTACATATGCAAAAGCTTCACCATGCCCAACAGCTTCCAGTACAATCAGAATATAATAACTCTAATAGCATGCCATGAGAGGCTTAGGAAAGTCTAAATCACAAGTTATAGCTTTATGTATCAGTCAATCACCAAAAAAAAAGTGACAACAGAAAATAGTTAAAAATGATAAAGAGTAACCAAGACGAAAAAACAAATCTATAAAGCCAGAAGACTTGGTAGTTAGAAACATAACAACCATCCCCCATGGTAAAATGTACACTGTACATTAAAACCAGTTAAATAACTAACTTTAGAAGATTATATCAAAAATATATTTTTATTGATACTCTAAAATCATCATGCAGCTCATAATATAGTCTCTTTACTAAGAATGAGAGATAGAACTGACAAGTGTATACAGTAATTTAAAAACTCACGTAGTTCCAGCAACACGTGTACTAATATGAGTCACAAATTCTGGAAAAAGCTTTGCCAGACCAAAATCCGAAATTTTGGGCATGAGATTTCTATCAAGGAGAATATTGCTTGCTTTGATGTCTCTGTGAACAATATGTGGTCGAACTTCCTCATGAAGAAAAGCAAGCCCCTTTGCAACACCAATGCAAATGTTGCGTCTTGCTTGCCAACTGAATTGCATACTGCTATGGCCTCCACCTACAAGATAAAGAGGCCTTAAGTTATTATTGTTCAAATAGTTAATAAACCCAGACCCAGAGTAGTAGAAATTACCAAGAAGCGTTTGTGCAAGACTGTTATTCTCAAGATAGCCATAGACCAAAATTCTGTGGTTTCCTTCCACACAACAACCATGCAACTTAACCAGGTTTTCATGCTCTATATCTGCGATCACATTTATTTCTGTCAAAAACTCTCGCACCCCTTGCTTTGAGTCAGCAGACAGCACCTTTATAGCACCCATGGTACCATCTCTGAAAACCCCCTGTTCATTAAAATAATGATTGGTAAAAAGTTAGCCTTGGATGTTGAAATAATAAAACAGGCTTAGTTTTATATTTCAGCATTTATTGAGGCATTCTTTCAAAAAGATTTAAACAAAAGAAAAATATTTGCCATTACCTTGTAGACAACACCGAAACCTCCCTCTCCAATTTTATTGGAATAATGAAAATTTCCAGTTGCCATTTTCAGTTCCTTGTAAGTAAACAGTTTAGTGTTCTGAATACCTGCAACCTCTGTGCCAATGAGTACACATGAGGAACTTTTCCTAGTAGATAACTGATACAGAAGGAAGCACTATACAAGATGGGAGGAGCTTTTTAGCTGTGTAAAAGAAATGCATTTCTAGTAACAGATAACTTTAAAGGAAGTCAGACCTAATAAGAAATTTATAAAAATTTTAGATATCATCAGGGCTGGCTCTCAATGTTTTTTCTATTTTCAAGTTTATCAGTGTAGGATGGCTGATGTTATCAATGGAATAATGTCAAAGTCACCTAAACTTCCATCAATTTAGTAATCCCTCTTTCAAGCCAGATTTTATAGTGCCATACACCCCTTTTCCTCAGGATTGTTAGTTCCAAACTGAAGACCAAACATTAGGTCAGGTTACCAGCATACCTTCATCGATTTCTACTGTTTGTTCAGCAGAGAAAGCTGCCTTCTTTCTGGAAAATAAAAATGAGAAACAAGTCATCACCAGCTGCTGTTCAGCTTGAATGCCTTCACTTAAATGAAAACCCTGCCTGCCAATGTAAAGCATCAATTAAGAGTCATCATCTTCTTCTTCTTTTTTAATCTAAAATCATCATACTGTAAGCACATCAAAAAGAGTATATTGTTGCCTTATCATATCCTAACTAACCATTACAGCATTCTGGTGAGAAAAATAGACAAATGAAAAGGTAAACGTATCTCTTTGAGTATGATGATGATCATCATTGACCTCCTAAATCATTTCGGCTTTATGCTTCATATGATTGATTAAGAATACAAATATCAGCTGCTATGAATCTCAACCTCACATTCATTCTCTGATATAAAAGGTAACTGGATAGCGATTCAAACCTACAGTAAACCTAGGCAGCACTAGTTTAGCATCTTTAACACATGTCTCTAGCAAAACAATGAAGCAAAATACTTTTTGATAATCTCCATTTTAAGATAAACATAACCTTTTCCACAAATTAGATTCATAAAAGCATCAAGGCGGATAATTTACGGATGCATATTACCTATGAGCATGTCGAACAATAAAAAGGTAAAACTTTTGCATTGTTATTAAAGGACTCCTAAACACAGACAGCATCCAGACTACATCATTAGCCAGAGTCTGGCGAACCAAGATAAAGACAGCACTACTTATGATGTCCATGCAACAATCTAACTGCATGCAGAAAGTTCGAGAACTTAGAAACATTCCAACTTCAATGAGCATCATCAAGAGTCCAGTTCACCTAATGGTGAAGAGTACAATACATGCGTTGTAAGAGATCTTCATAAGAACATGATCATTAAACTATTTTGAAATAGTATTACCAAAAAAGAGAGGCAAATGTGATAATTCCCCTTAATAATTGAATGGAAAGAAACAATGGCTGCGGAGATTATGTCTAATTAGATACTAGGCCAGAGATAGTCCATCATTAGCATATGAAAGAAAATAAGACAGAACTGCCTGAAGGATTAAGTAGTAAGGTCTTAATTTAAGTTGAAAACAAATAATAAAAATTGGATGATAAAAAAAATTAGTTGAAAAATCAGGTGCGGCAAGCTAAAGAGGATAATGAGTGCTATTACATTAACGAGATCACTACTTATACTTCCAAATGTGTTTTGCCTTCTAATATTAGAGAATTACCAAAGTTGCTTGAAAGGTCAAGGGGAAGACTTTAGATCTCCTAGAAAGTTCCCACGAGTTCAAACCCTCCCAACAGACAAAAATTTCTCAATTCTCCTCAATTTTTGAGGACATCAAGAAATTATAAGATCTACAACACCTATAACTTCCAAAAAATATATATTTTAAAAGGGAAAAAAAATAAAAGTAGAACCATTGTAAAATCTTCTACTACACAAACTTGAAACTTCTAAGTACCATAACCTTTCATTAGATTCAAAGCTAAAACACTATAACATTAGCCCAAAGTAACAAAGCCAATGAAAACCCAGCATTCCTTTCTTTTGTGCCACAAAGAATCCAGGAAAACAAGAAAAACAAAAAACCATAAACACCAAGCATCCAAATTTGGTCAAGTAAACTACTCTTTGAGTATATCCAAGCAAACCAACCAAAGTTAAAGAGATCTAAACTTTTATAAAGCAAAATTCTCGTCTTCTTTTTTTTTCCTATCTTTTCTCATGTTTTCCTTTCAATATCCTTTACTTTCCTGTCATCCAAACAAAACCCAGATTGGAAACTAACCTTAGCTGCTTCTGCGAGCTGCAACAAAGATTCAGGCAACCTTAGAATCGTATAATAATAGAGTTGTGCAGTTAAAAGCTGGTCTCTCCCAAGTCGTTAAAGTGGAAATAATTGCAATAACCGAAAAGCAAACTATAAAGGGAGAAATTTTCTAAAAGCCTCCCCACTGTTTTACGTAATATCCATTTCGTCCCTAAAGATTCTTTCAACCTTTAATATTTTCGTTATTTTATGACGTCATTTTATTTTTTTGCGAATTTTAAGTAATTTTGACGTAAAGATTTTGCTTTCTTTTGGATTTTTCACGTCATTATTTTGTAAAAAAATTTATTACAATTCCCACGTGAATGCTTTGACGAGTTGGGGTTTTGAAAAGTCAAAATAGCCCGACAGGACTTCCATATGGAAATACATATATTTTATTTTTATTTTATATTATTATATTTGGACTTTGTAGTTTATTTTTAATAATTGAGATTAAGTTACTCTTTTTTATTTAATAATAGATGTTACAACTCAAAAGCCAAGGATAACTAAGCTTTCGTTTCACTTTTCCTATTCGCAAGTGGGGAGCATGGTTAATGTTTGACCCTTTCAGGGTTATTTACATTTTCATCCTCCTAACTTTGAATTCTTCTAATTGAATCATTAATATCACTAAATGGTTGTAATTTCTATGTTAATTGTCTATTTTAGAATATAATACATGCAATTTTTTTTATTTTAAAACAACATTCTACTTTAATTATGTTAGGGTTTCAGCATTTTTATTGATGGATGAAAACTGATAATGAAATGAGCAAGAAAAATCTTTTAATAAATGAACTTTCTTTTTTTAAAAAATGGCTAAAATTTAGCTAAATAACGCAAAAAAATTTTAAGTAGCTAACGATGAGTTTCATTTTTATGATCAATTTTCCTCGATTCATACAAATTGAAAAGTTCAAATTCTAAATCAATTAAAATAAAGTGCCACGTCTTGAAATAGTAAGTTTTAAAATAAAGCATCGCAACTTGTTTACGATAACATCCATGTGATGAAATTAATAATTTTTATCATGATAGGTTTCATTTTTTATGATCAATTTTCCTCGATCAAATCAAAATTGAAAAGTTAAAATTGTGAATCATTTAAAATAAAGTGGTAAATTTTATAATAAATCATAACAACTTGAAGTAATAAATTTTGCAGCAATATCCATGTCATGAAATTAATAATATTTAAAACGACAAGTTTTGTTTTTTATGATTAATTTTTTTCGATTAATAAAAATTAAAATGTTGAAATCTTCGATTGATTAAAATAAAGTGTTGCATCTCGAAGTGGTAAATTTTTAAAAATAAAGCATGGCAACTTGTAGTAATAAATTTTACAACAACATGCCAACAAGTTTAGAAGATTGAAGGTTGAATTTTAATCATTCAAAGGTCGGAGATAAATAAAAGAATGTAATAATGTTATTACATTATTCTTTGTTTATCTCCATATTTTTATTTAAAATTAAAAAAAATCACATCATAAATTTTTGTTTTATTTAAATTTAATTCGGATTCCCTCGCAACATATTAATTACTAATAATCATATAAATGTGATAAACGTGAACTGTGTTACAATACTTTGATCTAATTTAATTTAATTACAAAGGCCACAGTTCAAACCCTATTTTAATTAATTTAATTATAAAATAATTTGACCAATAAATAACTCAAAAAAGAAGTCAAACTCATGAATTAAAATAAACCCAGTTTTTCAATTTGGTATAATTCTGTTTTATTCAAGAAACTTGAGTTTTTTTTTTTTTACGAGATTGTTCAAATATTAAACAAGTAGATAAGACGGATATAAAGATGATTATAAATGTCGATAATTCAAACTCTGATTCAAATGTAAAATAATTCAAACAATAAATAACTCGAAAAAAGAAATCAAAATCGTGAACCAAAATATACCTAATTTTTCAATTTGCTATAAATGTATAATTTAAGATTATAAGTATAAACTAGATTCCAAGTTTCTTTTCCTATATTTACCAACCAAGGCTTGCATTTTTCTTTCTTGCCGGTCACCTAGATTGGTTTTCCTTTCTTTCCTCCCTCTTTCTTTCTTACTAAACATTGGTGAAAACCATTTAGAAGAAAGGAGCTTTGCAACGTGTGAAATCCTTTTATTTTTATTTTTTTTAGCCAATTGGTTATCCAATTGACAGCTTCACGTCTTCATTGTTGACTTGGAATTTCCACAATTTTGGCTTATTTTGACCACTATTCAATTAGTTCTCTTTCTCTCTATTTTCCCAATGTAGGCATTCTACGTCAGCTAATTGAACTCATTGTGTTATCCCAAAAATATGTATGTTAGATGAAAATCAACTTGATTAATTAAATTATACAAACTTTAAAGTTTTAAACGTGCATTATTGTTTATTTTATTAAATATATACGGTAATTCTTTTTTGGTTATAATTTTTTAATAAATTATTTTAAAAAATTTAAATAAATTTTTATTCTTTTATTATGTTTAATTAAATTTTTATATTTTATTTTAAGTCCAATAAGTATTTATGACTAATGATTAATTAATTATTATTATTAATTAAAATATTACTTATCATTTTATATCATTAATATGATATTGATATGAAAGATGAAAAATACTATATGATCATATTATTGTATAAAATTAAAATATTACGTTATTATCAATTATGATATATTAATATGTCACATTATCATTAATTATAATATGTTAGTATACTACGTCAGAGTTATGGGACATAAAATGATAAATATTATTTTAATTAAGTCAAATATTAATCATAGAAGATTATTTGATTCAAAATAAAATATAAGAATTTATTTGATTTAAAATAATAATATAAAATTTGATAGACGTAATACAAATATAAAAATTTATTTAATTTAAAATAAAAATATAAAAAATTAATTAAATATAATAAAAATATAAAAACTTATGAAAAAGGTAATTCTAATATAAAATTGCAGCGTTAAAATGCTAAACAAAGCTAACATGGTAACCATTGGCCATTGGCCTTTGAATCACCGGAGCATTAAAAACAATGGATACAACCCCAATACCAAAACTAAATACATCAGGAACCACAGTTGACACCCTCCCTGCTAGACAGTGCCATACGACGAAGCACTTCACCACATTTCCATTAATAATACCAGCACAATTCTTCATATTTCATGGCTAGACTTGATGGCCCCCTATTAATTCACTGTTCAGAACATGAAAATGACACGAAAATTACTTCCAAAAAAGAAAAAGAAAAAGAAAAGGCCCAGAAAAAACATTTCCTGATGATAATTGAAGGTTTCAGCAAGCAAGTTGTGTCAGATAAATCCTATGAACACTGCTTAAATAAGCAACAATATAGACAAGTAGAAACATTTTCTCATCATTAAAAACACCAGCTAGTTTTGCTTTTCACACTTGAAAAATTAATTGAATTCCAGGTTAATATTTGAAATCAAGAAATCATATGAAGACAAGTCAATGGCTATGTTCAAGTCTATGAAGCAGTGAAAAATCCAGCCAGCTCTAAGAAGTTCAGTTAATCTAGTTCAAAGTTATGATTGAAGTCCTCTTTGACTGTACAATTCCCTGCTCCTAGGAGAAGTACTGGCTTTGTTTTGAGGGATTATTAGAGCAAACGTTAAAGGCCGCCCTTTTCTGTGTGGTACAGAATGATCCCTGCATTGTACAATGGATGCAGCTCATGCAGAGTTTATATTTTATAATTCCTGTGAATAATTTTAGATTTTTGTCAAAAATATTATGTAATTTTTTAAAATATTTTTTGAAGTAGACACATGATTAAAGTGTTTTTAAAATTTCCTTTTAAATGTATTGTAAATAAGTTACTCCATCCATTTTGTCTCTCTTCTTTTTCTGAAAAGGAAACTTTCTAATATCTAATGATGAATACAATAATAAATTATTTTCTTTAATTGTCATTCTATTATTTTCTTTATATTTAGAATTTTTTAAGGAATAATTTTTTTTTTGAAAAATCATACATGATTTTTGTTTATTACTATATGTATTTACTTTAAAATGGCAAAAAGGAAGGAAATATTAAAATTGAAGGCAATTTAATTATAAATTAAATATATGAATATCAGCCAAATGCTAGAAATTAATTAATAAGCTTAATTACCACTTGTTGGTTTCTTGAATTCTCTTGCTTTCCTATCAACTATTGTTCCTTTCATTGCGTCTCTCACAAGTTTCAATTAATAGTCTCGCATTCTGGTCCACTGATCATTATCAAATGTCTATTCTTAATTGTCAGATCGAATTACAAGCAAAGCTTGTAATTGGAGGATTTAAGGATAATTAAATTGGAAAAGCAGAAAGAGAAGAAGCTTAACTAGTTAGGAAAATCAATGGTTAAAAATTACCTTTGAGATTCTAATTTTGTTGTTCTTGCCTTATTAGGTGAAATTTTGATTATATTAAGATATGGGCATTTTTATTGATGGAGGAAAATTGATAATGAATAAAAAAATGTAAAACAAAAGTCTTTAATAAATGAATTTTCCTTAAAAAAGGGTGAAATTTTAAGTAAAATTTAAAACTTTTATTATGATAAGTTTCATTTTCTATGATCAAATTTTCTCGACGAATAAACATAAAAAAAAAATTGAAATCTTAAATTGATTGAAATAATGTATTGCATCTTGAAGTGATAAAATTGAAGAACATTAAATACTAAAATGCTTATTTCTTTCAATAAATTTGATAAATTTTATACGTAACATGAAACATCAACATTCATGTAATGCTTTTGTTTTTTTGGGAATTAAGAGAATAAGGTTTTAAATTTTGCTTTATAAATAAAGAGATTATATACTAATCGATGAATTAAATGTTTGGGTATTATATAATATTTTAATTTAAACAACAAAAATTTATAATTAAAACTGTATTTTAATTTAAATATAAAAGAATTCAAATAATAAATATTAGATATGTACTTTTTTTAAAAAAAATAAAGATGTAAATAAGATGAATAACAAAATAAAAGATTGATGATTATGACTTCAACGTGGGCTTGTAATTTACTCTTCTTTTAACTTTATTGTAGAGAGAGCGCTGCTATTGATTAATAGACATTTTCTTCTAGCCAATAAGACTTGATCAAGATAGTATCAAATAGTCAAGCAAGAATTCAAGACTATAGTATCATTAGTTTCTTCCCCTAATATTTGCCCACCAAGGCTTGCATTTTTCTTTCTTTCCAGTCAGCTTGATTTGTTTTTTCTTTTAAAACTATGTTTGGTTGAAATGAAGGAAAATAAAGCATAGGGAAAAATAAGATGAAAAAAAGGAAAGTTATTTTTTCATTTTTGTGTGTATGTGTGTTTGGACAGACGTTTGTGATTAAAGATTGATTAATTATCATTAATCAAATATTCACGCGACACTAATATAATACTAACATAAAGAGTAAAAATATCATGTGATCATGTCATGATATTACGTCAGCATCATATTACATAAAACAACAATGGACACATTTTGATTAACGATAATTAATTAACCATTAATCATAAAGATTTAAAAAGAATAACGATTTGATTAAAGATAATAAAAAAATATTTAAATTTTATTAAATAATTTAAGAATTTATTTAAAAAAAAAAAGAAATATACAACTCCATCTATTTTTGTTCCTTCCTCTTACTTCTCTTCTACCAAATTAAAGGAAAATACTAAGAATAACAAAATCATTTTCTTTCCTTCCTTTTTTCCTCCTGGCCTAGTCCAAGTCAATGTCCTAAAAGAAAGGGTACTTTGCAAAGTGTGAAATCCTATTTTTCATATGGTGTGTATGTGTTGGTAATAAATCAGGCAAATTGATCATTCTAGCCACAGCTTGGCTTGTTCATTTTTGACTTGAAATTTCTTCTAATTTGGCTAATTTTGACCACCAAATTCTTCTTCTTCTCCTAAACATTCTAGTTTAGCTAATTACCTAATTGTCCTACCCCAAAATATGCTAGATCAAACCAACTTATACAGTTAGATTTATACAAATGATTGAAAAGAGTATAATCCTATAAACATTAATAATTGGGTTTTAATTTTACAAAGAGATTCATATCTAATCGATACGTATTTGTTTATTTTGTATTTATTAATTTTTTATTTATAGTCAAATGTATATGATAATTCATATATACTCGTCTTTGAAGTTTAAAAATTTTACTTTTGGTACTTAATTTTTTTTTTTGGCTTCATTTTTGGGTGTTTTGAGAGGAAAGCATGGAAATTTAGTTATAGACTTATGCCTTATGGTAACTTTTTGACATATTGTGATAATTAAACTGTTTGCATATTTTGTATTAAAATTTTAATGTTTCTTTTAATGGAATTAAGTTAACGTTAATTAAAAAAAAGGTTAGAATACTTAAAAGGGTTTGTAAATTATTTTAAAAATTTTAAATAAATTTTTAGATTTTTTATTTTTTTTAAAAAAGTTAGAATACTTAAAAGGGTCATATGATAATCTCACCCTCTATTATGATAAGTCAGCATGACAAATCAATATTATGTGGATATAAAATAGTAGATATCATTTTGATTAATAAAAGTTATCTATTATTAATTCTAAGATTTTATTTGATTCAAATAAAAATGCATAAATTTGATTAAATGTAATATAAAATAAAATTTTATTTAAAATTTTTTAAAAATATTATGTCATTAAAAAATAACAAATATTTATGCGTTTATCTATCATTAATTAAACTAATTTTTGTTGAAATATAGAAAAGAATGGTCCATTACATCAGGATAGCTCTTTACAACAAGGTCCCAACGCAAAATGGAAGAAAGCCCAAATCTTTACAACAAGGCTTTGCTTAACTACCCAAACCCAAAGTTCCTACTTCCCCTTCTCCTCTTGGTTCTGGAAGCCTTTGCACTCTGCACATCTCTTCTTTCTCTTTTCACTGTTCTTTCTTGGGCTTTTCTCCATTTTTCAGTGCTGATCCTAGTTGTCAGCTTCTTCCTCCCCTCCTTTTTGCTTCTTAGTTCTGGAATTTTCCTCCACCTGCACTCTGCACCTCTTCTTTCTCTTTCCAGTGTTGTTGTTGTTGTTTTTTTTTTTTTTAATTTTTCAGTTTGGGTTTGCAATTTCTTCTTCCTGGTTCCTGCATAATCTCTTCAGTTGTGATAAAATTGTGTCTTTTTGAATTCTGGGGAAAGTTATACAATATCCCATATCCTTGTTAGTGTCAAGTCGTGTCGACTGCGGCGCCGAAAATGGCGAGTCCGAGAAATACTGACTCTGAAAGTACGCTCGCAGGGTCTGAAGGAAGAAGTCAGGGGGAACCATTGCCCTCAATTCCTGGGTTTGTTTCAGGAATTTCTCATCAGGGAAAGGATTATTCTGCTCCAGGTGAAATTAACTTCTAGTCGCTTTTTTTGTAATTTATAAATTAGAATCTTTGTCTTCATGATGAGGTTCTCACTTTGTGATGTTTTCAGTGCCCTCAACTGATAGCGATGCTCTTTTGAACACTGTGAAGGAGACTGATTATTCAGCTGCAGGTACATATATTTTTTTTCTATCTTTATTTAAAGTATTCACTATCTGGCGAGGGCCTCTTACCCTGTAATGTACTGTGCAGTGCCTTCCAATGAAGATGATGAGTTTGAGAAATGGCAGAGAGAGGTTGGAGAGGCAGAGGCGGATATTGGTGATGGGTTCGGGGTTGATTATCAGGATAGGCCTCTAACACCACCAGAAGGTGAAGAAGAATTCACTGATGATGACGGGACTAGGTACAAGTGGGATAGAAGTCTGCGAGTATGGGTTCCTGAGGTTGGTGCCTTAGTTTGATAGGTTGAGATGTGAAAATGGTTGAACTTGTATATTTTAGTTGACTCATGGTCTGTCCTCTATGTTCATTATTTCCTACACTGTTACATACTATTGAGACTTCAGTTTTAACATGTTTATTTTCTTTAATTATGGTTCTGTCTGATAAGATGAAAAATCTCACTCCTGAAAACTTTAGTATGGAATTTTAATTCTTGAACACTTAATTACTAAATTTATATTCCTGAAATCGTTTGGTATGCTACTGAATATTAAATATTGAATAGATTTTTGTTGATTTTTTTTTTGCAAAATATGCATATGATTTTATAAGTATTTTACATTAGTATAAGTTAGAAAGGAAAGAAGAAAGAAAGAATATCACGTTAGTGTACTTAAATAATTAACTAATTTTTTTTTCCTTTAATAAGATGATCGAACACATTAGGCAGCTTTCGACCACTTAAAAATTTTCAACATTTTTTTTATTGAAACTCTTCCAATTTAAGTGCTTTCAGAAATATGTTATCAAACACATTGAAAAAAAAGTTAGTCATTGCAAATTTTCAATGATTTGTCTAAGACTACCTAACTCTCTATGCACTTTTTCCCCCTTAAAACATGTTTGTGTACTTAATGGCTAATGCATCTTACTCAGGAATAGTTAGTGACTTATTTTATGTAACTTGCCATGCATATCTTTAGATTGGAAGGGTCCAATTGTCTTTCAAGTATAAAATTTAAATGAAAGCTATAATTTCCATTCAAAGAATATTTTTGTCAGTCACTAGGTTGGGAATTCTGTTTTGCATAATTTGTAAAAGTCAGAATTCTAATATCATATTGTTGCATTAATGTTTTTGTTGTTATTGCTCTTTACAATTCCGTTTTTATAGCTTCTCTTATCTTCTCCTTCTCTCTCTTAAAAATTCAGTTTTGCATGACCTTTATTTATTTATTTATTTTTTAATTGTATGAGTTACTGATGATGCATGATAGGATAACTCATCAAGCAAATATGAGCACTATGGAGTAGAAGAGATGACATTCTTGCAAGAAGAGGAAGTTTTTTCAACTGTAAGTGCTACTGTTGCTGCTGATCTTACTGATGCTGCTGATGCCTCTGTTAGAGAAGAAGTTAATGGCAGTGGGGAGCAAACTGAAGCAGGTTCTAATGCCAAGAGAAAATTGTTGGAAAAGAAAGTTGAGAAGAAGGTATTCTTTCTTTCCCTTGGAGTTTTCTTTTTATAATTCTTTGAAGAAAGGTGTTATCCTATTCTAGTTGCATTCTTTATCTTGCTGTTTCCAAGTAGCATTACAGTTGTCATCCTCAATTTTTGGCATCATTATTGTAATAGCATTGTCCTTTTGGTGCAATATTCTTTGCCTTTACTTTGCCAAGATTAAGAATTGCCCATGTGGAATGCTTTTGAGTGCATTAGTCTATAAACTTCCACTTTCAATTCAGTAGTATATTACTACAAAGAAAAGAATCATATGTTTTATGTAGTTATTTTTTGGACAGCCTCTTAGTGTTTCATTAATTTGGACTGAAATAGTCCAATTGTTTGTATATATGATATGAGCTGAGCTTGTAATATCCTTTATCATTTTAATACTTTTGCAGGAACCTAATAAACCTCCTGATTCTTGGTTTGAATTGAAAGTCAATACAAATGTCTATGTGACTGGATTGCCTGATGATGTAACTGCAGAAGAAGTAATGTTAACTTTAGAACCTTAATGTCTTTCCTTCCTTCTTCTTTCCTTTCTTTTTTTGGTTAGTCTCTAATTGGAAACATGTGGCAGTTGGTTGAGGTGTTTTCCAAGTGCGGGATAATCAAAGAGGTAAGAAACCTGTCTTGCATATTTTATTTTATTTGACTCTATCTATGGATGGTTAAATGGCGAAGTTCTCTTTTCACATTCAAGTACTAACCAAATTCTTTTGGCAGCAAAGAGATGAACTCATCTTTAGAAAGAGGACTGTAAAAAAATTAAACATTGTGTGTACAAGCATCGAATTGCATCCTGACTTTAAGAAGTTTCGACTGACGCGTATTTGCCTGCTTGTTGATTGATTATATCAGTATGTTACCCAAAATATTCAAAATGCTTTGTGGATATTACTTCAGTGTACTAAATGAAATTTGAAATTCTTAGCAACATAAACTCTGAAGAAAAAAAGATGAAAATTATAGAAAAAAGTGTCTAAAGATTAGTTGGTACAGCTATTTGTGGGGTAATCAAGAAGGTAAAGACCATCTTACATGGTCATAATGAATTGGACTCTATAATGGCTGAAGTTTTCTGAATACATAGATATATTTTCTTTGCATTAAGGAGATGGAAGGGCTGGAATAAATAAACATTGTGCATCCATGCATTGTATCCTGACTTCATGGAATTGACTGACACGTGCTGCATATGATTCTAGAAAAGATAAGATTGATAAAATTATTCAAAATGCTTACTACATCTTGTTTCAGTGTACTAATCACAACTTGAAATGCTTAGCAACATAAAATGTGAAGGAAAAAAATAACTAAAGATGAGGCTTGTGGGATTGCTGAATTCCCTTTATGTTGTTAAACACTGATAATGATACCATTGTGAAAGTGTTCTTCCCCATATAGTGTTTAGCCTGTTGCAACTGTAGTAAATCTCTGGCCTTTCCCTTTGAGTGGCATAGACTGAATTTTGGTAGTATAGTATTTTATTCATCTCAGTTTTCAGTGGTTTAACTATGCTAAATTTTCTTTCTGCTATCATGCATAAATTTCTCTATGTAGTGTACATCTGAATAGCTTGAGTGGGAGCTCGTGCTTTATGTGTTCGCCTAGGAGATTTTATTGTGTTGTTGCATTAGTACTGTCACGAGATGTTTGAACATTATATTTCCTATCACAAAAGCTTTAATGAGAGTCACAAGTTTGTGACATTCGTTATTCAGGTCTTAACTGGTAGTTCTGTATGTCTGGGTGTCTGGGTGGGGATAATGCCCTGGTTCCTGAATTTGGATACATTGTGCGGAAGAAATCTCTAATAGGTGCATGATTGTTGTGATTATTATATTTTTTCCCTTGCTTGTATACCACAGCAGTGGGTAGCTTATTCTCTGGGGCTTAATCCAAAATGCACCCAATAATAATAGGAGAGGTTAAATCCATGCATGAATAGGATTTTATGTTGTACACCTCATGAGTAAGTGTGAAAAATTTTATAGGACCCTGAAACAAAAAGACCTCGTGTGAAGATCTATGTTGACAAGGAGACAGGAAGGAAAAAGGGGGATGCACTTGTCACTTATCTGAAGGTAGTTTTCTTCCTCATTTCACATTTTTGATGTGTAACATTTATAAAATTTTGCTAACCTGGAAGTTCTTATCTGTGCTAGGAGCCTTCTGTTGCTTTGGCTATGCAAATTTTGGATGGGACACCTTTACGTCTCGGTGGCAAGATCCCTATGTCAGTCACCCAAGCTAAATTTGAGCAGAAAGGTACAATGTTTGGGCACAGTTACTTTTAACTTTGGCCAGGTATCGTTTGAATTATTTGTGTAATTGTTTTTCTTATCAACGGGGAATTGAATACATTTCTATGCAGAGTCAACTGAGGAGCTTTTTTTTAATGTTTTGAGTCTTTCTTTACTGATAGGCTTCTGTTGCTCTAATGCAGGGGAGAAATTTATAGCCAAACAAGTGGACAACAGGAAAAAAAAGAAATTGAAGAAAGTTGAGGATAAGATACTCGGCTGGGGTGGGTTCTCATCTTGCGGTAGTGCTGTATTGGAAACGATAATTTTGAAGTGCTTTCTACTTTCCTTTTGACTCTCTATATGAGTTCTTTTCCTCTTTCCTTTTTCTGTTTACCATACAAAAACAATATGCACGGATTTAATTTGGTAAATTGTTGGTACCACCTTGTCTGTAGATGGAAGAAATTTAGGATATGGATGAAGTTATCTATTCTTACATGGTTTGTTTGCTTGTTTTCTTATGTGTTATTAATATCTTCATTGCATTGCACCCAATGGTTAGAACTTGAAACTCCATCTTAGAGGTCTCAATTTTAAACCTTCGGGGGGCGGGGGCGGTTGTGAGATGGCCCAAGACCCAATAGGTCTCCATATGTACCCAAAAGAAAAAAATATATATTTGGGAGTATCGATATAGGTTTTCTGCAATGAGTCTTGTTTGAAATTTTTTTTATTTACAAACATTTTATGTTTTCCTTTTCTTGTTGCATTTAATGTTATAAAAAATAGACCTACTCTGCATTGTAGTCAATTCCATTCTGCTAGTATGACTCGGCAATCTTGGTAAAGAAATAAGCTCAAATCATGAGATTGAATGCTTTTGCATTATGAGCAATGCTAACTTTTGTATTGACTTTGAGTGGCTTTTTAGTGTTGGTACCATGAAACTTATTTCTTGGCATAGTTTCACTTGTCGGCTTTCTCTTGTGCAACACTTGCATCCCCAGGGCTCATTTTTTGTGTCTGGTGCAGGTGGTCGTGATGATGCAAAGGTGACAATTCCAGCGACTGTTGTCCTACGTAACATGTTTACTCCTGCTGAAATGAGGGTATGCTTGAAACCATGGTCAATTGCATGACAGCATTCCCCAAAATTTATATGCATGACTGCCTCCAATGCTTAAAATTTTCCGGTTACTATTTTGAATTTAAGATTAATTTCTAATCTTCTCCTTTGAATGTGGTTGTTATAAGTAGTATAAGTAACATCAGGTCCCTACAGCTGCTACTTATACGTTATATGGAGTTGTGAGTTGACTTTCCCCTTATCTCTGCAGGCAGATGAAAATTTACGTTCCGAGCTGGAGGAGGATGTTAAAGGGGAATGTGTGAAGCTTGGTCCAGTGGACTCAGTCAAGGTAATATAACCTTTTAGCATGAGCTCATCTGTATAATTTGATACATGTGTGATAAATAGCCATGTAATAATAGAATATATACTCATGTCTTGGCTGATAAGTCCTGAAATTAGGTATTGTGGAACCGTGATGGAATTGTTTCATGAAGTCTCTCAATCTGGTGTTGGATATGGAGTAGAAGTTCTTTGTCCTCCAATAATTTACAGAATTCAAGGATCTTGTAATTATTAAAAGCCATGAATCATTCCCTCTTACTCTAGGAGCTTGCCTGCGGAGAGGGTTATCTCTGGCTAACACAGAGCTGGGCAGTTTAGAAAATTGCAGTTTCCCATTAAACTCCTTGAAGTATTTCCCCTGCTTTTTGCTTTGACCTAAAGCTTCTTGGGCTGCAACTACTGTTCCTTTTCTTTTTTATTTGTTAAATTTATTTTATTCAATGAGTATTTGACAAGGCTGCATAGAACATATATTTATAATACTTGTTAACAACAAAATTGACCTGGCAAATTATTAATGGCATATGTACCATATAGAAAGGGTAGTTTCCTTGTATTGTATGGTTTCTTACTACTTTTAGGAATGTTACAGTTCAATTACGAGACAGAATACTGTCATCTGATGAAATGTCTTAAGCTTCCATGCCCTATAAAATTTAGTAGTCATCTCCTTCACCCATAATATATTCATCCTTCAATTTGACAAGGCTAGATATCCAAGTTTTCCTTTATTCTACACGCTTTGTGTTTGTAGGAAGAGATGAATGCTTGTGCATGCGCATAGAGAGCTAAGTTCTCTCTTTCTTTGCCTGGTGTTCCTTTTACCGAGCGATAAGTTCATTTTCCTATGTGTTCTCTATCTGTTTGTCTGTCCGTCTGTCTATCTCTCCTCTTTTTTTATCTACTTCCATTTTCTTATTTCAATGATCAAAATCTCAGCTGCACTACTTCGTTTCTTCTGCATGATTAGCTCCAATTTGCAGAGTGGTTGTTCCATATTTAATTAAGGGTTGTCCCATTTCTAAGATTTGGTTTGTTTTGTCCTGCAGGTTTGTGAGAACAATCCACAAGGTGTTGTTTTGGTAAAATATAAGGATAGGAAGGATGCTCAAAAGTGCATAGAGTTGATGAATGGACGATGGTAATTTTTTTTTATCATCTTGGAAAGTTTACATTTTTATTTTGTAAAACATCGGATCAAAAAATCACAAGGGGAAAAATGATTTGGGCATTACTAAACCATCAAAGAACCAAAAGAGAAAAGCAAAACAAGTTAATGATAGTAAGTAGTTAGGAAGAAATTTGAGTGCATATGGTCACCAGTGAATCTCAAGTCTACGTAGTTACAATCAATTAACTACTATAGTTGATTCTCTGTGTTAGTTTCTTTTTCTGGTTGATTTTTATCACATGCAAAAACCCACAACTAATTTTTGGTGACTGGAGTGTTACGTAACTAGTTGTCTACGCCTGAATATTTCTTGTAAAATTAGCTTTTATGCAAGTTGCTAGAGTTTGTAGATTGAAAACCAGAGACGCCATCTATATAGACAGCTAACATTCATAGGGTAATATGTATGAATCAACTGAAATTGGAGGTGGCAAATAGGTGGTCAACTAAAATTAGAGGCAGCAAATAGGTCGGTTAGGGTTCAGTCATTTCAGGAGCTGATTGGTTCAAGTTCGATCCATTTCAGATTGGGCTATTCTAGGTTAGGATCGTTTTGGGTTTGGGCCGTTCCAATTTTGGATTGTTTCAAGTTTTGTTCAGGTTTGGGCTAATTACATGTCATTTTTAGATTTTGTGGAAGATGTAACTATATCAGCATGAACTTTGAGGTCGGATTGATTTGAATTTGGGTTGTTTTGTGTTCAGATTGTCTTGGATTTTGATTGTTTCGCTTTGGGTTTTTGAATTTTTGATCAGTTTGGGTTTGGTTGGCTTTGGATTTGAGCTTTGTTGGACGGTTTCTCTGGTTTGGGTTTGGCTTCATTTTGCCACCTCTAATTGAAATCAAACATGTTCCTAGATTTGTTGTTGGACGTTCTTGAATAGCTATGGAAAATGCTTTTGATTTTCATCAGGGAATAACCTAAAGTTGAACGGGTAATATCAAATGATCGTACAAAGTAATTCATCAAAAAGATGAATGCACAATGAAACCATTTAACAACTAGCAAGGATTAAAGTTTTGATGTTATTTTTTCTTATCATGCTCACATGTTTCTTGGTTGTAATTTTGATTTTGGTTTGATTTAGGTTTGGTGGGCGACAGGTCCATGCAAGTGAAGATGATGGAGTGGTTAATCATGTTTTGGTGCGGGATTTAAACGAGGATGCTGTCCGATTGGAGCAATTCGGTGCTGAACTTGAAGCTGAGTGAGTTTAGTCAGACCACTCAAATGCGTTGATGCTGGAACTGGCTTAATTTTGTATTCTTAAACTAGTGGCTGTGCATAAAATGATTATTCAGATTTGATGTTGGGGATATTTCTTTTCTATGTTTCAGTTGAAGGTTCAGATAACTACTGATTATTCCTTTTTCCTTTCTTTTAATAGCATAGCAACATAGCTCATTACTAGTCTACAGTACCAAGGTTATAAACCTCATAGAAAATTGCAGGTTTTAATGCACTTATATGGTCACTATTCTCTCTTTGCAGCTCCTCTTTGTATTCTTCAAAACTACCTGGGAAAATATTGAGAGTCCCATTTTCTACTACCCAAATTTGACACTTCTTTTCATCCTTACGGACGATTGATATGAGCCAGGCAACATAGACTTACCAAAGTAACACCCAGTTAGCCCATCCGGTGCATCTATGCTTTGCATGTCCAAATGTTTTGTGTGGGCTCATGTAATAGCAATATGTGAAGTAAACAAGATAAATTATAAAACATCAGTTGATTTGAACAAAGTTTGTTTGATAAAAAGGGTGAGTTTTCATGCTAATTGATAATTAAAAAGCATTAACAATTCATTTATCCATCTCGGATTAAGTTTAGTGCTTGGTCCTGTTTGAAAAGGAACGAAGATTGAGTATAATACGTTTTAAGTCTTAATAAACCCATAACATATAATGTCATATGTCAAAATCATTGTTATTAGGAATTTCACCTCTATTGGTGAAAATGGAGTCGTGTTTACAGGTTAAAAAAACTTGATCTTTACATTATTCATGAAAAGGAGACATGATGCGTGATCAAAAATAGTATCAACGAATATTAAATTATTTTATGTTGAGCTTTAGAATCTTACATGTGATTACTCATATAAAATTATTTTTAATTAGTTTGACAAAACTTTTCACTAATTAGATCAATGTTTTAAATTAATATATATATATATATATATATATCTATATCTTTATCTATGCATGAGATTTTTGGAAATATTGGATTTAGTTATATTTTGAAATTGATGAGGAATTGTTGGAAGATTTTTAAAATAAGATGAAAAGAAAGATAAGATTAATTGATTAATTCAATAAGTTAACTGACTAAATAGCAAGATTAGTGGACTAACCATCCAGTGATTGTGGATTGATGTCCATAAGAATAATGTAGATACATTGGCCGATAGGTACAGGCTGCCTAATCCTTCAGTTGATATGAAGTGTGCTTTCAGGTTACTGGATAGGACGCTGATGTCCATCTAATAACCACTAAAATACCTTCAAATCGGTTCCATTGTATGCTACTTGGCCCTGTATAACTCTGTTGATGAAGTAGTCCAAGATGCCTCTGAACATCTTGACCAGGAAGTTCTACCATACGTCAAGGACAAAGTAAGTGGGACTAACGGTCACGAGTGAAAAATTATTGACATAATACTTTTATTAGGTTAAATTAAATTTATGTATTTTTATTTTAAATTAAATAAATATTAATTAATAATTAATTAATTATTGTTAATTAAAATATCACTTATAATATAATATTTATTTGATAAATAAAAAATTTCATATCAACATATCATATTATCATGTTAATGTACGCATTTTTAATTTTAATTGTGACACTTTTGATTTTTGATAATAAAAAATGTATCAGACTTATTCAAAAAGTCTAGATCAATCTCCCCTTTATTGATAAAAAAATAATATTTGTTAATGATTAAGAAATTTGTGTTGAATGCAGTGGATAGCTTATTGTAGAGGAATGCTGAAAGAAGCACAATGGAATCAGAGTGGATGCATGCCGACTTTTGATAAGTATTTAAAAAATGCTTGGATCTCTATTGGTGTTCCAGTAGCCTTGGCCATTTCTCATTTCTGCATAAGCGAGTCCATAACTGAACATTTGCCTAATTGCACTGAGAATTGGTCTACCTTTGAGTTATTTTTATCATACCTGCCTTATTTTTAGGCTTGTAGACGATTTAATGACCGTCAAGGTACAATTATTTTGCATGAAATTTGTCATAATCTTACACAGCATTTGCATAGTTATAAAAAAAATAATTAAAAACTCTTTAAATTATTTTTAAAATTTTAAATAAATTATTATTTTTTTATTACGTTGAATTAAGTTCTTGTATTTTTATTCTAAACCAAATAAAACTTTATGCTTTATTTTGAATTAAATAAGTTATTATAATAATTGACTTAGCTAAAATGTCATATGTTATTTTATATCACGTGTCGCTAACATGTCATATTGACATGTTATAATAAGAGATAGCATGATATATTAATGTGGCATAATAATATGAAATATACAAATACGGTGACTTCTTTGGTACTCAAACCCAAGCCAATATGGATTGTGTGCATAAATTACTGTTTGAGCCCATCCCCATGGAATGAAAGAGCAAGCAAAGGGTGGCAAAAAGAATCAAGGATCATCAACATTAGCCTTGGAAATTTAGGGTTCCAAGTTTATTGTTGATTTTATAAAGTTTTAATAGTGGTTCGCAGTTTGGTTTCGTTATCTTTTAAATAAAGATCTAATTGAGATTGTTATTTAATAATCTCAAGTTTGAATTTTACGATTAAGTAGTGTAAAATTTATATTTGAAATAAAAGAGGACTACTCTTTATTGTGTAAATTAAGATTGCATGTACTGAAATATTAATATTAATAGAGATGTTACATATTGAGTGTTGGTAAATACAAGTGAAATGAAATTGTTAATGCAAAACTAATTGATTTTGATCTTTCATAGTATAAAAGTTAATGGGATAAATATTAAATGTCATCTTTATACTTTAATTACATTGAATTTTATCAAAGAATTTTTTATTTTAATTAATTTTTCGACATAAAAAATAAACCTTCATTCTCATCAATAATTACCCATTAAATTCCGACATATTTCCGATCAAACGTTGACGGGCACATTACCATAGTAATTGACTTTTAAATAAAATTACAGAAAACCATTTTGTCGGAGATTCAGCTCTGTAACCTCAAATTGCATGTAAACAATGAATAATATATTAAACTTACCATTATCTTCTGCTAAACGAAAATCAAGAAAATGGTTTCATCCCTTACTATGTTCATGAAACAAGTGATTATCTATTTTTCTGCTTCATATTCTCTCAGTATTCAGCATGTACACCCAGGCAGGAATCAAGGACTCAAAGATGTTAGTTATCACATGGTAAGTCTTGTTGCTGAGCTCTTCCGAAGCTCATTTATTTATCAACAAACTGTTGTACATAACCGCAAAAGTGACATGTTCACATTCAAACAGCAAATTTACCTTCCCCTGTATCTTCTCATAGCATATTCTATGGTAGCAAGGACCAAAGGACAAACATTCAGACCAGCACCTACTGGTGTACAAAAAGCATTACTTTTGCTAGCTCTATAGCTTTCTGGCGTCCAAAAAACTTCTCCACGATTGCTAGTGCGAACTCCATGGCAGTTCCAGGGCCCCTGCTTGTAATGAGGTTGCCGTCAACCACAACTCTGTTGTCAATGAAACTCTGATCTGACAGCTTGTTGCACATTGCAGGGAATGCTGTGGCCTTTTTGCCCTGGAAATTAGCAGAATACAACTGTTAAACATTTGCGAATACTGAATGCAGAAAATTCCTGAAGACTTGTGTACCATTTTCTTTTAACTCAAGATCTATATGTTTGAAACAAATATAATTACAAAAGTCGCACACAAACTTAAGCACATGTAGGTTATATTATTATTAAAGTAACACAATTAATGCGCAAAAGCAAGCACAATTTCAAAATTATTTTTTAACTTTGTGCAACACTGAATGTTTAAAGTTTCAAAGCCTATGAGCAAATGACTACAGTTAAACAGTTTATGATGACCTTAGAGCCTAATGATAAATTCTTATGTACAAAATATTAGTAGAATTATTTAATCCAGTCTCCTGAATGGCAGAGACTACTTCACAGAGCAACAGTTGATTATGGGTTTTTAAATACTTTTAGTTTATAATTTAGTTTATGAATTACTCAAGGGTATCAAGTAAATTGGCTTTTACAACATTCATAGTCACGCGACAAGTATTCTCCCCACGCAAATATTAACATGATTAAAATTAGACCTTAAGTAAGCCATGGGGCTCCAAGACCAAAGCTGGAGATGCACATATAGCTCCATAGGGTTTGTTTGATTGCATCTGCTTCTTTAGCAAGTTCACCAGCTTATCTGAGTTAGCAAATGCTTGAGCACCGCCAAGTCCACCCTGAAAATATGCAAGAAAAGGTTCATAATATATTTAGCTAAGGAAGAAAGAGTAGGCACGAAACGGAGACAAGAAACATGACAGAATCCCAACATACTGGCAAGACTATTAGGTCATATGAAAGTTTAGCAGCTTCATCAAGGAGCATATCTGCCACTAACTTTACTTTCCTAGAAGCCAGAATTTCAAGATTGTCTCCAACAGAGGCAACCACAACATTTGCCTTCGCTCGACGCAGGATATCAATGGTTATAACTGCTTCCATTTCTTCTGAGCCATCAGCAATTGGTACAAGGATCTGAAATATTAACAAAAAGCAACTTTTATAATAGAAAAGAAATGAAATATAACCCCAAAATTTCGTATAATAGAAGGAGGACAAATTTGGATGTCACAACACATGGAATTGAATATCGGAATGAAGTTGAAACTGATTGCACAGAATCATATTGGGCAAGGAAATGAAGAGTATTTGGATATTAAGACAACTATCTTCTTTCTGCAATCAACTTACAAACCATCCAGTATATTAAATCAATGTTTTGATTCCCAATCTATTAGGATGTTATTACAAGTTCAACTAAGAGAAGCGAAGCAGAAAGAGGGAAAAGGTTATTACCCAAGTGTTCTTGCATATCTAGGAGTTTAAATTGCTACCCTGTAAAAGCAAAGAAGAAAAGACAACGGTAGAAATTGCCAGATGCAAGCCATTTCCTTAGATATGAAGCTAAGATACCTACCTAGGATCCGCTTTTTCCAACTTTGATTGCTGCTCACTTTAGGCTTTTCTAGTCTTTATGCACTTCACTAGCTAGTTCTAAATTTGCTTCCCTTGAAAATCTTAAGACTCACAAATTGGAACTCTTTCTGGATATCCTAATTAGAGTATTGAGGTGAGAATATAGATCCTGCATTAACTGCACAC